AAACCATTTCAGGTGACTACCTCTTGAAGCTCATGGAGAGAATGCCAAGAGTGTGCAAAGCAGTAATCAGAGCAAAGGGTGGCTATTTTGAAGAAACTAGAATATAAAACATGTTTTCAGTTATTTCACCTTTTTTTGTTAAGTACATAACTCCACATGTGTTCATTCATAGTTTTGATGCCTTCAGTGAGAATCTACAATGTAAATAGTCATGAAAATAAAGAAAACGCATTGAATGAGAAGGTGTGTCCAAACTTTTGGCCTGTACTGTATATATAATATGTAACATATCTAAATACACTGCATTGATTTAAGAATCATTACATTTCATTACATCCTATGATCAGGGTAAGTAAAACTTTAAGCCATTTCAAGCTATTGTTGTAGGAGAACATTAACACTTTTGATTATTAAATATTTTACAGAACATTTTCAAAGTGAAAAATGGAATGAAACTATTCTCAGGTACGACTGCCTATGGTAACTTACGCTCCATAAAGTAGGGCCCGGGCTCCAGTCTCCAAACAATCTGACCCTTCTGGGTGCCATTCACTCCTCGGTTCTTACAGTCCCACACGTTGGACGGACTGGTTTCATCTAAAGAAGAGGAGAACTGTTAGTTATGTGAGGGTATGTAAACTCTGGGCTTCGACAAATTGTGTTCTTGCTGTGTTTACATTACCCCTGATTTCAAGCCAACTGTTAAACATAACAAACAACAGATGACAGTGTTCAGGCTCTAGATCCTGCTTCTCGCTAAGAAAAACTGCAGCGAAGCTGCATCTGCTCCATCTTTCAGTATGTTTAGTCTGTGGACTCTCTTGTCCAAAACACAAGTTTGCCTTTAATCAGTGAAATCCATTCCCAAAATAGCCTCCCTACAACCTCTAAGCAGAAGGACAAACACCAAACTTCCTCTGAGTTAAAAACAGGGAGGGGGAATTCCGCTGTACGTAGCACTTTCGTACACAGATTAATGAAGTACCAAACTCAGCTGACTGGTGGAGAGAGTGAGACAGGAGTCTGTGCTGTATATGTGTGTGCATGAGCATGCCTGTGTGTGTGTGTGTGTGTGTGTGTGTGTTTGAAGGGGAGTGGAGGAGACTAGGGCAAGTTGTTTATCATTGAATGTCTGCTTAGTCGAGGAAAGCGGTAGCCCCACTGGGGTATAAGACCCTGCAGAAGGTAATGAAGTCCTGGCGGCCTTATGATCAATATGAAGTGACCTGACGCCCTGCCAGGCACCAGCAGTTTACACTATCTTTCTCCGATACAGCATTCTCACCTACAAGGAAGCATTTAGAATATCTAACCAACTAATCAAGATGGATGAAGTCCAGGAGGTCCTCAGAGATGTAACTAATGGTTTGGTAAACAAGTTAAAATGATTATGATCCATTCTTTAATAAAATAAGCACATGCTGTCAACAATCTCTTGCTGTGTGTTGTACTGCAAGTTTGTCTGACCTCTCACAAGTCAAAGACACCCATTGCTTTCAGAAATCCATTATCCATTACTAACACAATACATCATACTGAACAGCTCACAGGCTGTAATTTTCCTCTGAACGTCACTGCATTATACTAATAATTATCTTGTGTAAAGAGACAACTTTTTTTGCCTTACTGTATAATGTACCGTAACAGTTATGCACCCATCAGAACTGGGTAAAGGCAAATTTATGTGCCAGGCAACGATTACAGTGATCAGTTTGTCAGACTGGAACAACACTGCTTCTGTAGTTAAAAAAATCATACTAGCAAAAATGGCAATACATTTTTTAAATCCCTTACTATATTCTTCAGGGCAGCAGGATGTCTCCGGGAGCTGTTTTCAGTGTGTATCTGGAAACCAGTGGAAGCTTTAGATATTTAGCAGGTTTTAATCATTATGAGATAAAATAAAATGGCACTATAGTGAGCTCAAGTCAAACCAAAAGGTTTGCTTTCTGTTCCAGAAGTAAGAGAGCCTCATTCAAAGTCACATTTGTAGTAGCACATATACAGTCAAGTCCATAATTATTTGGACAATGATACAGTTGTCATCATTTTGGCTCTGTACACCACCACAATGGGTTTTAAATGAAACAATGAATACCTGCTTAAAGTGCAGACTCTCAGCTTTCATTTAAGGCTTTTTTCAAAAATGTAGTATGAACCATGTAGGAATTACAACCATTTCTTCACACAGTCCCCCGACTTTAAGGGCTCATAAGTATTTGGACAAACTAACATAATCATCAATTAAACAGTCAGTTTTAATACTTGGTTGCAAATCCTTTACAGTCAATGACTGCCTCAAGTGTTGGACACATAGGCATCATCAGATGCTGGGTTTCTTCCCTGGTGATGCTCTGCCAGCCCTTTACTGCAGCCGTCTGCACTTCCTGCTTGTGTTTTGGGTGTTTTGCCCTCAGTTTTGGCTTCAGCAAGAGAAACGCACGCTCAGTTGGATTCAGGTCAGATGATATGACTTGGCCATTGCAGAACATTCCACTTCTTTGCCTTAAAAATGTCTTTGGTTGCTTTTGCAATATGCTTCAGGTCAATGTCCATCTGCACTGTGAAGCATCGTCCAATGAGTTTTGAAACATTTAATTGAATCTGAGCAGATAATGGTGCCCCAAACACTTCAGCTTTCATCCTGCTGCTCTTGTAAGCAAGACAGGACTTCACTAGAATAAATACAGAGGGTTTATCACAAGATGCAAACCATTGGTTAGCCTTAAAAATGGAAGGCCAGATTAGAGTTTGTCAAAAACCATCTAAAAAGCCTGTACAGTTGTGGAACAGCATACTATGGACAGATAAAACAAAGATCAACTACCAGAATGATGGGAAGACAAGAGAAGAAAGAAGGGAAGGAACTGCTCATGATCCAAAGCACTCCACCTCATCAGTGAAGCATGGTGGAGGTACTGTTATGTCATGGCCATGTATGGCTGCCAGTGGAACTGGTTCTCTTGTATTTATTGATGATGTGACTGCTGACAAGAGCAGCAGGATGAAAGCTGAAGTGTTTGGGGCACCATTATCTGCTCAGATTCAACCAAATGCTTCAAAACTCATTGGACGATGCTTCACAGTACAGATGGACAATGACCTGAAGCATATTGCAAAAGCAACCAAAGACATTTTTAAGGCAAAGAAGTGGAATGTTCTGCAATGGCCAAGTCATATCATCTGACCTGAATCCAACTGAGCATGCGTTTCTCTTGCTGAAGCCAAAACTGAGGGCAAAACACCCAAAACACAAGCAGGAAGTGCAGACGGCTGCAGTAAAGGGCTGGCAGAGCATCACCAGGGAAGAAACCCAGCATCTGATGATGCCTATGTGTCCAACACTTCAGGCAGTCATTGACTGTAAAGGATTTGCAACCAAGTATTAAAACTGACTGTTTAATTGATGATTATGTTAGTTTGTCCAAATACTTATGAGCCCTTAAAGTCGGGGGACTGTGTGAAGAAATGGTTGTCATTCCTACATGGTTCATACTACATTTTTGAAAAAAAGCCTTAAATGAAAGCTGAGAGTCTGCACTTTAAGCAGGTATTCATTGTTTCATTTAAAACCCATTGTGGTGGTGTACAGAGCCAAAATGACGACAACTGTATCATTGTCCAAATAATTATGGACCTGACTGTAACTACAAATCCAGTCTCTTCACATAACTGTATGTCTAACAGTATGACGTATGGTTCACTTCATATGTCGCGATAAGGAAGGTCAGTTCTATAAAACAATCTATTCATTGGGTTAATTTAAAGGCTTACTCCAGTGACTAACAGCAGGTATAAATTTTCAAGAGACAGGTTAAAATGTATGATCAGTATCAAAGCAACACTGGCAAAGATATCCTGACTCTTAGGCCCTGTCTACATGTATACAGATATCTTACCAAACAGATATTTTTATCTCTGTTTTGGCCTCTTGTCTACACGTAAACAAAGTTTTAGGTCACTAAAACAGAGACTTTTGGTCGAGTGCCATCTAGTTCCATTATATTGGAGAGAAGGCAGATATCTCTACAGCCGATATCTCCAACACTCGGCAACTCACACCAAAACAATCTAGACTGATTAATAGCACTACAGGTAAGAGGAAAAACATGAATTGTTGTTTTTGGGGTGAACTGTCCTTTAAAATTGCAAAGGTTTCACCCTTTATCAGCAAAGTCTGTATGTGGAGAACACACATACAGAAACACACTTAATTTTTCCAGAAAGACGATGAAAGAAATGCTGAATTGGACACTGAGTTACAGAAGCTAGTGGAATGTGAATAAACAGGGTATAAGTCATAGATTCTTTATAACAAAATTGCTGATTATCACTATTGCTTCTGTATTACTTTTCACCTCGATGGCCGGATCTGTCTGACAGTTTGAGCCTGATAGCCTTCCTCAGCACAGAGGTCAATGTATTCCCCCCTGTCAAATTCCTGTCTCTAAGCAGGATTAGCATACATTATTGGAGACCACCCCATTCGCCTCGGAGACGTGCAAGCTTTGTGATGGTGTGTATGTTATTGTACACCGAGGTAGAGCTGTTACATGTTGACTCAGCCTCCAGTCCTGTGTAAAGTCTCAACAGCTCCTGTTGCAGTATTGACTCGGAGTTGGAAGCTCCTACACAAGACTCTACCTGGCTATTCTCAGCTCCCAATAAGTAAGAAACCTGGATCAGCTGAAAAGCTTTGAGGACAGGTAGGGTCAAGTCAGCTCAAGTCCTGGATGCCTGCAAGTTTCCCAAATAGCTCAACAAAAATATTTTGGGGGAAAGCACAAAAAACTGTGTAGAGGCAGACTGAGAAAATCAAGCAATCACCCCTCTTAAAATTTCAAGTCACTTGCATTCAGACTCGTAGACTTAAGACTTGGACTCAAGTCAGACGTAAAAGTTCGCACTTGACACTTATTTGGACTTGACTGCTCTAAAAGTTGACTTAAGGCCCTGATTCGATTACGGTATTTGACAATCAGAAAAGAACATGGTGAATTTTTTGGTTGTGACTCTTGTCTAAAATTATTAGTAATTCCTGTGCTTTTGATACCATCACAAGGCAATCTGTCTGTTGTGAAAGAGGTCAATGACGCAATTTTTTTTAATAAAACCTGAAAATAATTTTAAAAAACAGCTAATTTTAAAGAATAAAAGTGAATTCTTAGTATTAAAAACTGTAGTTTGACAAGATGATCCCAACTAGTTGAAGTTTGCTGATTGTCATGGAGATGGATCAATTGCAATGCAAACACAGTAGCTGTAATGACTTTAAGAATCAAATATTCATCCATCTATCCATCTATCCATTTTCATCATCCCCCATTTCTGGGGTCAGGTCATGGGGGCAGCAGGCTGAGCAAGGTATTGCAGACACCCCTCTTTCCAGCAATGAGGCATTCTCAGGCCAGATAAGGTTTATAATCCCTCCAGTGTGTTCTGGGTCTACCCCAGGGTCTCATACTAGTTGGACGTGCCTGGAAAAACTCAAACAGGGGGCGCCAGGAGGCCAACAGTCAATCAAAATGTGTTTGACTTTGTCCTGATAATACAGACACAGCTCTCACTTTGGTTATACAAGGATTGAATAGCTTGTAGCAACAACCCCGTACCCCATATCCCCGCAGTATCCCCCACAGGACTCCCTGGCAGACACAAGTGTCAGTCTTCTCCAAAAACACATCTAGATTAGATGGACAAACTCCCACCAGCACTCCAGCAGCCCTGCAAGGGTAAAGAGCTGGTTCACTGTTTCATGGCCAGGACCGAATCAGCATTTCTCCTTATGAATCTGAGGTCCGATAATCAATTGGCACCTCTTTTCCAGCACCCTAGAATAAACTTTACCAGGGAGGCTGAGCAGTATGATACCCTGGAAAATCACACCCTCCAGCCCCATTTTTGACAAATGGGAACCACTACCCCAGTCAGCCACTCCACAGACAATATCAATATAATGCTTTAGATGCCATTTCCAAGCCAAGGTAGAGTAGAATTCTTATGGATTGCTGTTGATAACAACTGCTCTGGTACTGTATGTAAAGTCTTGACTACAGACCTAAAAGCAGAAACATTCAAGTTCTGATCTATTCAAATCCCAGATCATTAAAAAAAGAATAGGACAGCAACAAGAAAGCCTTGCATAGCTGCAAACCTTGTATATTTGTTATGTGAACTTTGCATTGATTTCACTTATGCAGTAAACACCATCAACACAGCTTTGAGAGAAAGCTGTTCAAATGCTGTGTCATTTTTCAGGTCAGCATTCAAACCTAAAGGATTTCATCTTGATTTGCAATTTGAACCAGTCCTCAAGGACTTGAGTCTTGGCTCGGACTTGCTTTGAGTGACTGGAGATTTGTCCTTCTGCCTCTGGATCTGACCCAGGAGAGTTAGAGCAGCTCTACAAGCAACTACAAATGTAAAAATCATCATCTCACCAATGTGGTACAGCCCGATCCAGTCAGTGGCATCCACTTCCTCCTTGATGTCCCAGGATATGACAAGGTTCTGGCCGCGATTTAGCGTGTACTCCAGAGTGGACGCTGTTAGCGAAGACCGGCTCTGGGAGGTCACCAGATCTGTGTCACTGTTAGCCCGGGGAAGCCCAATAGGACTGCTGATAACGGAGACTGTATCAACGGCAGCCCCGCCCCTCTCTGCCAGAGTTCGCAAGTTCTCAGGGCTAAGGGTGTGCCGGAGGTGGGGGCTACGCCTTCGTGGAGCTGACAGGTGTTCGCGGCCCCCCACTGAGAGGTTGGGTGGATTGTGGGAGCGGGTCCTGGGCGGTAGGACTGCTGTGGCGAGGGAAGGACGCATGTTTGGCGATTGGTAAGGAGACAGCAACAAGAAGTAAAAACTGTTGGAAACAGCCCGAAAAGAGGCAGAGATGGGTAGGACCTTCTTATCGATTGGGCTGGTTGGCAATGTTAAGACACATTTTACTGATTCATCCCCGCAGACTAATCTTAAACCCTAAATCCTAAACTGTGAGAGCTGGTTTGAAGAGGCCATCATGCCTGGAAACATGAGGAAACTTTAGAAATAATGTGTTGATTCCTTCTCCATAGAGGCTCCTCTTATCGGCCCTTCTGATCCTTGCATCATATCAGAACTGTTGAAGTAGAAGATATCCAACAACAGTCACAATCTTCGCCACTCACATTTCATGCTGTCCAATGAAAATGGGACCCTAAAGATGGGGAAAGAGGAGAGAGAAAGAGAAAACAGTAAGCTACAAAACTGCTCTCACACAATAAAATGCAGTAAGTTGCAATCAACAAATGACTAAACAAGCATTAGTCACCAGGGGAGTTGTCTGCAGTCAAAGAATTTGTCACCAACACAAATAACAAAACATTTCACACCATCTTCTATGACAACCCATCTAATGAAAGAAGAAATGGATGTGAGGATGGCTTCAACTGTGCACAATTCCTTTTATTTTTATTGCTCATTTAGATATATATGTTTAATGAATTTATTGCATACTAGTGTCAGACTGGTAAGGATGAAACACAATACTCGATTTACTTTATTGAATGATTAATGAAACACTTAATTAAAGTGAATATGTTGGTGGTACAAACAGACCTTCCCACAGTGGGGAAGAGTAGACTGAAATGATCTCATTTGAAATCCATTATCTCTACGTGACCACTGGAAAAAGAAATCTTTAAATCATCCTAATACACACACACACACACACACACACACACACACACACACACACAGATTCCCCCGCTCATGCACACACACACGCACGCGCGCGCGCGCACACACACACACACACACCCACACACACACGCACACACACATCTCTGCAAGTGGGTTTCTATGGTTTCTGTCTATAGAAGCTGCCTTAGTAATAAGAACAGAGAAAGGAGACTGGCAGCTGTATCTGCCTCCCAGGAAGCTCTTCAATCAGCAAATGCCAGTTTGGGAACTGTCTGGGGAGTGCCATCAGAGTCTCAACCAGAGCCATTTTGTTTTTTAAGGGAGGATGGCATGTGACTTCAGAATCTACCTAGAGGCAGCTGGTTTTAGACGGGCTGAGAAGCAGAGGTTTTTTTTATTTTTTTCCTGACGGAGAATAGGTTTGGTAATATTCAGCTAATATGTGCCTGGTGCAGTCACTGGAAAACCATGTGGGCTGAAGTCTGAGCTAAGCCCTGATATCTTTGGCATTTTAAGTGCGTATACGTCTCAAAAGCTGAGCTGTTCAGTGATGCTTTGAAATCACTGCTTCGTCTGCAGGCCTGTGTGTAGTCTGCACTGTATGCATCACTGTATTTAATAAAAACATTTGGATTGATAAATTATTATCCTTCATGTGAGCAAAACTAAAAACCCGGGCTAGATGTCACTCCAGTTGAAATGACTGAACAGAACTGTCATTGAAAGCTTACACTCCCGCTTATATTTTGATATTAAAGGAACAGTTCAACATTGTGGGAAATATTATTATTAAAATATTATTCACTTTCTTGCCAAGAGCTAGATGACAAGATCAATATCAGTATGGAAAATATGAAGCTAAAACCAGCACCCAGTTAGCTTAGCTTAGCTTGTCATAAAGAGTGGAAAGAGGGGAAAAGAGCTAGCCTGGCTCTGTCCAAAACGTACAAGAAAAATAATCAGACTGTTTGCTGTTTGACAACTGTTGCTGGGTCTAGGGACTTTTAAAGCCTACATTTGTTTATATTTTGGCAAGCTGGCACCATTAAAAACATGCTTAGTAGTTCCTTTTTGCAGTGTACAAATAGATGTACAAATAACTGTCACTTGATACTTTGATACTGAAGAAAACTTAAAAATAAAATGATTTTCAGGCAAGTTCTGGAGTTACAAGGAGTGTAACACCCGCCAAGGGCCAAATGCAGGTAGATTTTCTGTTTGGGTAAAAATCTTGGAAGGCCATTTACCCTACTGGCGGGTAAATGTTCCTATAAGTATAGTCATGCAATAAAATAACAGACTAAAAGTTAGAGAGTCTCTTCTGTGTTTTGGTGTCATTTAAGGGCATGCCAACATTTTCTCATCCCAACTCGTCATATACTGAGGCTTTGTCAGTGGACCTACACGTCAAAATATGATGTGCTAGGTACCCTCCTGCCTCTGTTTTGGACATTCACAGACAGCATGTCAATTTCCACTTGTTACATGCATTGTGTCTTTTCAAAATACATTCCCATTTCCCCACAGGAAATGTCAAATTTTTGCTTGTTACAGGCATACCGTCTTTTTTAAAGTAAACTTACAACGTAGGTAAGACAACAAAAGCATGTGGTCAGGTTCACAAAAAAACATCATGGTTTGACTTAAAATTTACACGGGAACTGAAAAGTCAGCTCCCACGTGACAGTCCAGAGTTTTCCTGACCCATTCATCTCCCCACCTGCCTGCCGTATACGTAGCTTGTCTGTGGCATCACAAATTGTGTCTTACACCAACATCCACTGACAAACCAGCGTTATTTGACAATTTTGGTTGTTGCCCACTGCCTCTAAAACTGACGTGCCTAGTGCCTATCATACCGAAATGAAAGGTGCCTCTAAATCTGTGGCTCTCAAATGGTGTGCCATGATGTCAATCTAGGTGTGCCATGGGATTTTGTGATAACCACACATTATTACTGCAATATTCAACTGGGCCTATACAAAAAGTTATAAATTAATTTTTAATTGACTGTATTTGTATGTGGTGTGCACCCATTTTCTAATAAAATGGCAAACTCTAGCTAAAAAAATGTAATTTAATTTAATTTAAAAAACCTTGAAAGGGGACCTGTTTGTCGGCATTGTTATGTGGGAATTATAAGTGTGTGACACTTTAAGAGCCCTGATTGGCAGCCAGCATGAGGACTGATAACATTTAAATGGAGAAAAAACATGTGGGACAATGGATCGCTTTATTGTACCCAGCAAATTACAGCAAAGCACCAGTGATGACAATCTACCACTGGAAAAAAAAACAAACAAAAAAAAAAACTGAGGGTGTGCCGGAGGTGGCGTCTGAGGGAAACGTGGTGGGACAAGAACAAAAGTTAAGGCAGCGAAAGCCCAAGTAGGTTTGGAGAGAGGGGTGGATGGGTCTAACAACCCTCGACTTTCACCCAGGAGGCTGGTGCTTGCTTTCCATAAGACTGTAAAGCCAAACCCTGTTCTTTTTTCCTACACCCAACCCTGTGTGTTGGCAAAATGTAACCATGTTTATTTGTTGTTGAAGTAAAAGAAAGGCAATTCCCAGTGTTGTACCTACACAGTGCATTTATTTTGAAAGAAACAGTATGCAAACTGTACATTTCCTGTGAAAACAGAAGTATATTTTGAAAACAGACAATGTATGTAGCAGGCAGAAGTTGACATGGCGTCCCAGAACGTTAACAACCAATGCACCCAGAGTATTGCATGTTGTATCTGGACATGGACAGTCCATGACCAAACGTCAATATGTGATGGGGTCGGAGTGAGAATGTGTTGCTCTAAGCGGCAGTATTTGAAGAGTTCAGACAACAGGCTGGGTAGCTGCTTTTGTCCTCTGTTGACTGTGCCAGAGTTTAAAACACACACACTCTGTCGTGTGTGTCATACCACGAAAATGATCATCTCAAGAGCTTCTAGTTTTGTGGTACCGCACCGTATTAGACCTCAGCTACTCTGCTAAACTATTACTCGCCATCTGTCTACTGGTAAAAAGCGGAGTAAGCCAACCATTAAAATAAAAACCAGGAGCAGGAGTCCAGACTTAATGGACTGTGCAAAGAAGTGGGTAACTGCGGTAGAGAGCGAGGAGTTTGATGAAGAGATTTAAGATACATTTACGGTACTTCTTAATATTCTGGCTTGACTTGATTAACTGTTGATATTGAAATAATTCAGCTTCACAGTTTATTCTGGCCACTTTAAATTTGTATTCAACAAAAGTATTATCAAATCATTATCATTATTAAATTATTATCATCTTAAAGAAATGTACTGAAACAAATGTATATGTGACACAAGGGGGCAATTTATTATTTCGTCTGGTAAAAATATGCTTGGCTGGTGGATTTGTTTTTTATCAACCAGTCCCCTTTGCTGGTGAGTCAGAAGGTTCATTTTGGACACTGGGAGCATCTTTCTTCTCAGATTTCTAAGAAGACTTAATAATATTAATTCAAGATAAATGATTGGAGATTATGTTATCACTATAAAGAATAAGTAACACTGAATCTGTGTTTTGAGATTTGACTGAGTTATGACTCAAAGAGTCTCCTCTGCTTGTGTCAGTTGTATCATCCATTTGCACTTTCCATGTAGAGAGCTAACAGACTGCGTGTGAGTTTGATGTTGCAAATTCTTTATCATGCAAAGATTGGAAATAATTTCAAAAGCCATTCAGATGCAGTGACTTGTATGACAAATTGTCTAATATACTGTGTATATTGCTCTTGAGCTTCTGAATCAATTCACTTTGCATTTTGAACTGACTGAACAGAAATGATGAAGTGGCCTCTGTGCTGATGCATGTGGATTGGCTCTGTTTCCGGATAACCCAGGCCTTATATTGAAACAAGATCTGCTGCATTTGACATGGGGGAAAGCCTGGACGTCCCTGACTCAACAAGATTACCAGAGTGCGGCTCTATTGCACGCGCGCGCGCGCGCGCGCGCGCACACACACACACACACACACACACACACACACACACACACGAACATGGCATACAGGGATTTATGACAGAATAAAACCTTCATCACAGATGTAGGAATACGTAAATCCCGCTCACGTGTGCTCATGGCCTCACACACAGTCATGAAGCACCAGAAGGGAGGGGTCATTTATTTCCATAAACAAGCAGAAGCTTACTCTGTTGAAGAAGAAACTAAAAAAAAGTGTATATGTAACTGCTGAGTTGTTATGTAAGTGTTCCTGCGGTGCAAGTGCCCCCCCTCATGTTTGCCAGGCATTGTCTAACTGTGACGTGGAGTGGGAGATGCCGTGGCTGCACTCGTCCCACTCAAAGCAGAGGGGATGAGGAGTCTGTCTACCAGCTAAGAGCAGCACAGACCAAAACATGACCTCAGGAGGGAGCACTGAACAATCTGGACTCAGCCCAGTGCTTTTTCTTCTAAAAGACTGTCATTTCCCTTTAAAACCCCAGTTTGACTGCTCTGCACAGCTTTGACTCGATACGGGATTAGTGATTGA